CCCTTCTGCCCTCTGTTGCCTCTGCTGCTGCGGCCGACCTCCTTGTTCTTGAGTCGGTCGGTGCGGCGTCTGCCCCTAGCGGGAGACGCCGCTCTGGCAAGGGCAAGGGGGGCAAGGGCGCTGGAGGAGCGAGCGGGGGCGGTGGAGGTGGAGGTGGCGGCAGTTGGGGGAGTGGGGGTGGCGGTGGGAGTGGAGGTGGGGGTGGAGGGGTCGGTGGCGGCAGTGGAGGTGGAGGTGGCGGCGGCGGTGGCGGTGGGAGCGGAGGTGGCGGAGGTGAAGGCGGCGGCGGAGGCGGAGGCGGCGGCAGTAGCGGAGGCGGCGGAGGCGTCGGAGGCGGCGGGGGTGGCGGTGGTGCTGGTCGCGGGTCTTCGCAGAGGAGTGGCTCCGGTGGTGGCTCGCGCCAGCAGCAGCAGCGTGGTCGTGACACCCTGTCCCCTCAGCAGCTTCGTGAGTGGTACACTGCGCGTCAGCGGGGTGGGGGTTTTGGTCCGTGCTCCTACGTTTTGCGCACTGGCGACCGTGCGGGTGAGCAGTGTGGGGGTGCCCACCCCACCCAGCGCTGCTTTGGCCGCCTGACGGACGCGTGGCGTCACCAGTTCCCGGAGGCCTCCGAGATCCCTCGCTGGGGCGAGCTGTCTAGGGCGGGTGTTGCCATCTATGATCTTGACTTTGATGCTATTCTCTCTGCCATGTATGCTGTGTCTATTAGTGATGAGGGTGACTGTTACCGGTGTTTCCCGCCCGATCCGGGCATTGAGACTGCTGCTCTAGGTCCTGGTGAGGCTGCTGCCCTAGGTGCTTGCGACGCTGCTGCTCTAGGTGCTCGTGTGTCTGCGTCCTCAGGTACTGGTGAGTCTGCGCTCTCAGGTACTGCGTCGGCTTCGGCCTCCCTCACCTTCACCCTTGACTCTGGGGCGTCTCGCTCCTTCTTTCGGGACCGCACCACACTCACACCGCTGAGTCGACCGGTTGCAGTGTCTCTGGCTGACCCCTCTGGGGGTCCTGTCCTGTCTCGCTTCTCCACAGTCCTCCCGTGTCCGGCGGCTCCCTCTGGCACCCTGTCTGGTCTCTACCTCCCCTCGTTCTCTACGAACCTGGTGAGTGGTGCTGACCTACAGGATGCGGGGGTCCACCAGTTCACTCCTGCACGTCAGAGAGTGACCCACTGTACAGAGGCTGGCACAGGCCGACACCTGGCTACGTTCACCCGTCAGCCGGGGTCGAGCCTGTACACTCTGACCACTGCGTCTCCTCCAGTTGCTGAGTCTGGTAGGGTAGTTACGTCGGGTCAGGTGTTTGCTGCGGCGTCCAGGTCTGGTCCTGAGTCTGCCCCCTGTTCGTGTCGTCTCCTGTCTCACGAGACTCTCCTCTGGCACCACCGCCTTGGCCACCCCTCTCTGCTTCGGCTCAGAGGTATGGCCTCCCGTCTTCTTGTGTCCGGTCTCCCCCGGTCCCTCCCTCCCCTTCCTCAGGGCCCTGGCCCTGCCTGTGTCCCCTGTGTCGAGGGGCGCCTGCGTGCTGCCCCTCACTCCTCCCAGTTTCCTCCGACAGAGGCCCCGTTGCAGACACTTCACATGGACGTGTGGGGCCCAGCCCGCGTCCGTGGACAGGGTCACGAGCGCTACTTCCTGCTCGTTGTTGACGACTACTCGCGTTACACCACAGTCTTCCCCTTGCGCAGCAAGGGTGATGTCACTGAGGTGCTGATCGACTGGATCCGCGCAGCTCGTCTCCAGCTCAGGCAGAGCTTCGGCTCGGACTTTCCTGTTCTGCGTCTGCACTCGGACAGAGGCGGAGAGTTCTCCTCTGGCCTTCTGCGTGCCTACTGTCGTGCACGGGGCATCCGTCAGACCTTCACGCTTCCGGACTCACCGCAGCAAAATGGGATTGCTGAGCGCCGCATTGGCATGGTCATGGACGTCGCTCGTACGTCTATGATGCATGCGGCTGCCCCCCATTTTCTGTGGCCGTTTGCAGTGAGGTACGCGGCGCATCAGATCAACCTCCACCCCAGGGTCTCCAGGCCGGAGACCTCCCCAGCCTTGCTGTGGACGGGGAAGGTTGGCGATGCGTCGGCGTTCCGGGTCTGGGGATCTCGGGCGTTTGTCCGCGACCTGTCTGCGGACAAACTATCCCCCCGTGCTGCTCCTTGCTACTGTTGTCACTGACCCTTCTTTCGAGTCTACTGCTGCGTCTGCTCTCGTTACTGAGCTCGTCGACTTTGCTGCTCGCTGTCGCTTAGACTACGCTGCTAGTCTTGTCGCTGAGTCTGAGTCTGTCTGTCCTCCGTCCGTCGGGGGTGAGTGTGCCCTTGGCACGGACGTCCTTGAGGACAGGCAGGAGGAGTTCCAGTGTCTGGCAGCTGCCTCACCTCATCTCGTGTCCGTACTGCTTACCCCTGAGGGAGACCCGGATGCACTTGACATCCCGACTCCGCGCTCTTACGCGGAGGCGATAGAGGGTCCCTACTCCTCTCAGTGGCAGGCAGCTATGGATGCAGAGATGGCTTCCTGGAAGTCCACAGGCACCTACGTTGACGCTGTCCCCCCTCCTGGGGCGAACATCGTCAGTGGCATGTGGATCTTCAGGGTGAAGCGGCCGCCGGGTTCTCCGCCTGTCTTCAAGGCGCGTTACGTGGCTCGTGGCTTCAGTCAGCGGCAGGGAGTTGACTACTTTCAGACCTTCTCCCCCACCCCGAAGATGACCACTCTTCGGGTACTGCTGCACGTTGCTGCTCACCGTGACTACGAGCTGCACTCTCTTGACTTCAGCACAGCTTTCTTGCAGGGCAGCCTGCACGAGGAGATCTGGCTGCGTCGCCCACCTGGCTTCACTGGGTCTTTCCCTTCTGGTACCCAGTGGAGTCTCCGGCGTCCAGTCTACGGTCTCCGCCAGGCGCCACGTGAGTGGCACGACACACTGAGGACTACACTTGCGGCTCTTGGGTTTGCTCCTTCTACTGCCGACCCGTCGCTGTTTCTACGCACCGACACCTCTCTGCCGCCGTTCTACATCCTCGTGTACGTCGACGACTTGGTCTTTGCCACAGCTGACACTGCTGGACTCGCCCACGTGAAGTCCGAGCTGCAGAAGAGACACACGTGCACAGACCTGGGTGAACTGCGCAGCTACCTTGGCTTGCAGATCACCCGGGACAGAGCACGCCGCACCATTACCCTGACTCAGTCACACATGGTGCAGCAGGTCCTTCAGCGCTTCGGCTTCACGTACTCCTTGCCTCAGGCCACTCCTCTGTCTACTCGCCACTCGCTCTCAGCTCTGCCTTCGGATGAGTCCGTAGAGTCGAGTGGCCTGTACCCAGAGCTTGTTGGCTGCCTCATGTACCTGATGACCTGCACACGACCTGACCTTGCATACCCTCTTAGCATTCTTGCACGCTATGTTGCTCCTGGGAGACACAGACCAGAGCACATGGCTGCAGCGAAGAGGGTGTTGCGCTACTTGTGCAGTACGTCGGGCATGGGGCTAGTGCTTGGAGGGCGGAGTCCAGTGGTCCTCACTGGGCACGCGGACGCTTCTTGGGCTGACGACCAGGCTACGCAGCGGTCGTCACAGGGTTACACCTTCAGCCTTGGTTCCGGCTCTGTTTCGTGGCAGGCTACTCGCTCGTCTTCTGTTCTTGGCTCGAGTTGTGAGGCTGAGATCTACGCCGGGGCCATGGCTGCACAGGAGCTTCGCTGGCTCACCTACCTGCTGACCGACCTTGGAGAGCCGCCTCGTTCTCCTCCAGTCCTGTACGTAGACAACAAGGCCATGCTGGCCTTGTGTCGAGAGCAGCGACTGGAGCACAGAACAAAGCACATTGCTCTCCGCTACTTCCTTGCTCGTGAGCTACAGCAACGTGGTCAGTTGCGGCTAACGTACGTGGCCTCTGAGGCCAACACTGCTGATGTCTTCACCAAGGCACTTCCGCCTTGTGATCATCAGCGCTTCTGCACTCAGCTGGGTCTTGTGCCCGTCTTGCCTCACTTGCTCTCCTCTTGAACTTGCCTGTACTCTCACATATATATATACCTGCTCTTGCTTGTCTAGCTTTATATATATATGTGTGTACTCTTGCATGTGAACTGGCCGTGTGGCCTTGACCCTGTGCTCGGACTGTGTGGTGACTTTGTGATCCACCCTGAGCTTGCTTTGCTTTACTTTGCTTGACTGGTCTTGTGACCCCTTGTTCTCCCCCACTTTGCCTATGGGGGTGTGTCAGAACATTATAGCTTATGCTGTTGTGTAGGCTGTAGTGGGGTATTCCATAGGGGGTACAACCAATTAGGGTTTCATATTTGTACTCACTTCATTTCATAGTTCATCCATTCTTGTTCAAATTTTCTCACCACCACCACCTATTCTCATACAGGATGAACCCGAATACGAAGTGGAACGTGTTCTCACTCATCGGCGCCGCGGCGGCAAGACCCTCGAGTTCCTGATACGCTGGAAGGGATATGACCCCACTGAGGACAGTTGGGTTGTAGAAGCTGATATGGGCAACGCACGCCGTGCTCTCAAGGACTATCTTGTCAAGCAGGGTGTTTCTCACGCCACCCAGCTTTGAGGGGGGGACGTGTGAGAGTACGACGGCTTATGCCAGCTATGCTTGCTTGCCTTTACCTTATCATGCTATTTCTAGCATAGGATAATTATATGCATGCATGAATTGCTTGATTTCCTAGGCTAGGTGCTTTCCTATATTTTATTATAGTTATAGCACCGAGCTAGGTTGCGTGCACCGAATTCTGGCTTTTCGGTTGCCACCGAATTGCCTTCTACTTAATTCGGGAAGGATATGTTCGGGATGCTTCGCGACCCGCGGAACCTTCGCGTAACACCTGGTTACGGGGCCTTGTGTCGAGCCTATATATAGCCTCGTGTTGTACCCAGGTGATCATTCAATTCACATTCGCTTTTCTGAGCTCGATCCTAGATCCTCACAGTAGAGATGGGTGCAAACTTCACCATGCCAAGAATTGACAAGTACTCGGTCATGGTTCGGTTGGCAAAGTGCCCGGCATCCTGCTTGCCAAAGCTGGCAGAGGAGAGAGGAGTGATGGGGTGCTTCTTCGGTGGCGCAACCTTGAAGAATCGCTGCTGCAACTTCGCCACGTACGCGTTCTGGTGGAAGAGGAGTGTCCTGTTGGGGCGGTCGCGCACAATCCGCAGCCCGAGGTAGCCTTCCACTGGTTCCACGTCGCGGAGCTGAAACGCCTTGGCTAACAATCCCTGGAGGTCCTGTAGTAGCTGCTTGTCTTCATTTGCCGCTAGCAGGTCATCAACGTAGCTTAGCAGCCATACGCGCTTCCCGCTTGCCAAGGATCTTCCTGTACCCCTCCATAAGGAGCACCTTGTCCTGCTCCTTGTACCAGAAGAGGACTCTGCTTTGGCCTGTAGAGGCTCTTCTGCAGGAGGCACACCTTGTTGCTACCGTCGGTGAAGTAGGGCTGCAACAAATCCAGGTGCAACAAATCCAGGTCCATAGCAGCTGCGATTGAGAGGAGCACACGGACAGTGGTGTAGCTGCCAACCGGAGCGTAGGTGTCGTCGTAGTCGATGCCAAATCGCTGGCTGAAGCCCTTTATGACGAGCCTGGCCTCGTACTTCTTCACAGTACCATCAGGCCATAGTTTCTTCTTCAGCAGCCACTTGACCCCAACAGTCTTGCAACCCTTGGGAAGTTCAGCCAACGTCCAAGTGCCTTGCTCGTCAAGGCTCTCCATCTCATCCTTCATAGCAGCCCACCACTCCTTGCCTTCAGATCCGGTCAACGCTGCTACTAGGTTGAGGATGAGACCTCCCCAAGCACCTTCCTCCTCCTCCTCCTCCTCCTCCTCCTCCTCCTCCTCCTCCTCCTCCTCCTCCTCCTCCTCCTCCTCCTCCTTCAGGTACTCCACTTCGTCATCGCTGTCCGTGTCGCAATCGTCCTCAGCAAGGTACGCCATGTCATACGGGTTGTCCTCATCGTCCGCATCCTGGGCCGTCATGGCTGATGCGGGAAACCGCACGGGTGGCACCCCCTTGTTGGCCTGCTGGAGCGACGTGGGGGTAGTGGAGTGGGCTGGATAGGGAGGTCTGCAGGTGAAGGCTCATGCTCATGGGCTACCAATGGCTGCTCATCCACTGCTACATCTCCTTCCTCCTCATGATCAGCCGTGTCGCCTCCGTCCTCAAGGGGACCTGGCCCTACGGGCACCAAATCAGCACTTGAGGATGGACCGGGAGGTGGCACGGCCATGGTTGCCTTGCTGCCCGCAGGGCCCACCGAGCGATCAAACGGTTGCTCGCCCCCTTGCATGACGGCACCGGGATCACGATGATGGTACGTGGTGGCGACAGATTCTGCTCGGGGTCGTGGAGCTCAGGAAAGAGAGATGTGACTGAAGCAAAGGGTGGTGTGGGCTGGTCATTCCCGTCACGCACGCACGCATGCCACTTCTGCCACCTTTCAAGTGACATGTGCATCCCGGGTGATGGCCATGCGCTTTGACTCAACATCCATCACACGCCATCCCTTGCTTTCCATGCTCATGCCCAAGTGCATGTCCCAACGAGTCTTGCTTGCAAGCTTCCCCTCATGCTCATGCTCAAGAATGAGGTATTGCACCATGCACCCAAACATACGAACCATGGACACATCGGGCTTGACTTTGTACACCACCAAATGTGGGGTCACACCATGGGGCAAAGTGGACTGGTGCACACGTTTTACCACCCACAAGAACTGCTGGAACGCAAAGTTCCACCAATGTGCTTTCACCCCTATGTGCCCCAACATCACACGCATGCCCTCCATTACCGTACGGTTGTGGCGTTCAGCCACACAGTTCTGCTGGGGGGTGGAGGGGCAGGAGGGTTGGTGAAGGATTTATCGTTGCTTCAGCAGCAGCAAAAACTCATTCGACATAAACTCCCTTCCCCGGTCCGACCGCAACACCTTCAGCGATCCCGGTCTGGAGTTCAGCTTCGGGAAGCCACTCCTTGAAAGGCAGCAAGCGCGTCACTCTTCAGCTTCAACTTCTTACCCCAAGTGTAATGCGAGACATGGTCCACAAAGAGGATGTAGTACCTGCTTCCATCCATGGCTGGGTCTGAAATGGACACACGTCAGTATGGACCAGCCCAAGAAACTGACCCTCTCGCTCGTCATGCAGCGGAAACGATTGGTGAGTGAGGAGGATGGCCAGGAAACATGCATATATGTTGCAACAGTTACCCGGCCCAGCTTACGAAGAACATGCTAGGGGAAGCAATGGAGAACAAGAAGTGAGACGTGAGGCAGATCACCAAAGAGGATGTAGGGAGCTGGGGAAAGGTGGACCTGTTAGAAGCCGGATGGGAGTGACATTGTACATCCAGAGCAGGACAAGGAAAGGGAATGCAGGATGAGTGCTTCAGGCTGGTGGCGAAGCTGCTAACGATTTTGAGATGGACGAGGGAGGCCGGCGGGGAATACGCATGCATATTAGAAAACGTGGATGCCTGGGAGCCGGTCCGAGCTGTGCGAGCGTTGGTGGAAGCAGAATTGGGAAAGGGAGTGAGCTTTGACGATGCCCAGCTGGGGCCACTAATTCACCGGGTTAATCCGTTTTTGGCAAAATTCCATGGCAGTAGGGGAGCTGAGAGCACGGTTAGCAAGGGTGGAAAGGGATGAACAAAGAATTGTGGAAGACATCTTGGAACAGTGACGAGTGGCAGCACTAGTGAGAAAACCGGATCATCCTCTGCAATACCAGTGCAATCAGGTGGGAGGGGCGCGCAAAGCATGGCCAACATTGGTGGCATACCAGTGAGCACGGGGCTTTATTGAGCATGAGGGAACACCGGGCCCAAGGATGGTATATGAACACCGGGCCCAGGGATGGTATATGAACACCGGGCCCAGGGATGGTATATGAACACCGGGCCCAGGGATGGTATATGAACACCGGGCCCAGGGATGGTATATGAACACCGGGCCCAGGGATGGTATATGAACACCGGGCCCAGTGATGGTTTATGAACACCGGGCCCAGGAATGGTATATGAACATCACAAACAAATATGGGGAGAGCTAACGGCCTTGGAGCGCTAGCTGACCATGGGGTACCTGCCGGGATCAATTGCAGCAGAGGGTATGGGGGAATAGTCGCACAGAGCAGCCTTCGGCAGAGCCATAGACCAACATTCGCTGAGGTTGCTTGTTAGAGAGACAAGAAAGGGCCCTGAGAAGAAAGGAGATAGAAATGAAAGAATGGGGAATCAGGGTTGCACGCAGGCAGTGTACGTGGCGGTGGGGAAGTCTGAGACCAAAGGAGAGACCGCAACGGTGCAATTAGAAACTAGTGCAGCAGAGCCGAGCTAGGAATGGGAACTTAGGGCAGATATAGAGAAGGGGGCAGTAGAGGCGACCAGGCGGGTACTACAGCAGCACGGAAGCACCTTTGCATACAGTTGGGAAGGTACAAAGGGAGAGAGTTAGAGCTTAAAACCCCCGGGCCAAGAACACCCGCATACCTGTCGAATCTCGTCAATCGCACGCGCGTGCAATGCGGTAAACCGGCTACTAGGCTGGTTGATGGCGTCCATCTGGGAGTCTTAGAACTCGGGAATATGCTCGGCCATTTTGGGACAAGTTTCTCTCCCCTAGGTTCACATGTCTCCTCAGGTTGGAGTTGGGCGATCAAATTGTGCGATGGAAACCAACTAACTAGTGTCGTTCCTACAGTGTTTTCGTCCAGTGTTTGCAGGCGACAAGGTTCGTGTGTAGTCAAACAAGGCTCAATTGGAAACCTGGTAACACCCCACCAACCTTAGGAAGGATGAACCAAATTTGGCCTTCTTGACCCACGGGATTTAACCTCGCCAACCGGCTAGCACCTTCATGACCAGAGCTGCAGCACTGTGCCCTGCTGCACTGTGCCCTTCGAAACAGTGAGGACTGAAAAAAGAGGATTGAGAAAGAGGACTGAGGCATTCCAATATGCCTGCATGTTGGGCGGAGTGCGAAGGTAGGGAAAGGGAGTTGGGGCAAGGGATGTTCGTGCAAGCAACGGACTGGTGCGGTTTGAGAGAGACTGGAGCAACGGATGAGTTGTAAGTGATGCACATTGCTGCAAGGGGATGGAAGAGGAGAGGGGGGAGGTCTATTCATGCAAATCAGTGCGTGCCAACAGGAGAAAACTTGCATTGGGACGGAACAGGATGGAAAGAAGGTTCTCTTCACTTTACACCCTGATTTGAGGAACGATGTTCACATAGGTTGCATTCCTGCCCGTTGCATTGTGCCTGACCTGCAAGGCTTGTAAGCCTCACAACACATCCAATCCCAATGCAGGCTTGTAAGTTGGCCACCAAAGCCCAAACATTTTTTATCATGACTGAAGTTGGCTAGAGAAATACACTATGAAGGAGGTACACCTTGGCATGCTACCAAATTCCAGAATCTGGTCCAGTTTCCCAAATTTCATCCACCCACAACAATCAATACAAAACCACGACGTGAGAACTCTACGCTTCACACTCCAAGCATCAGGAGCAAGAGGGTGGTAACAGCAACAGCACCCACGAGGTTGATGGCAACAGCAATGAGCGTGCAAGGGGCAGATGCTGATGGGGTCTTGGGCGTTGGCGTTGCAGCCGATGCTGGCGCTGAAACTGATGCTGGTGCTGCAACTGATGCTGGTGCTGCAATTGATGCTGGTGCTGCAACTGATGCTGGTGCTGCAACTGATGCTGGTGCTGCAACTGATGCTGGTGCTGCAATTGATGCTGGTGCTGCAACTGATGCTGGTGCTGCAATTGATGCTGGTGCTGCAATTGATGCTGGTCCTGCAACTGATGCTGGTGCTGCAACTGATGCTGGTGCCGCAACTGATGCTGGTGCTTCAGCCGATGCTGGTGCTTCAGCCGATGCTGGTGCTTCGGTGGGTGCTGAAACTGGAATGTGGGCACAGATATAGATTGGACAGATTTGAATCATATTCTGCAAAGCATACCGAATTCACCAAACAGCCGTTTTTGGAAAGCCTGTTTGGAGCAGCTGTGGCATTGCTCTCATACGCATGCGTGCACGCCCGTGTGTGCGTGTGTGTGTGTGTGTGTGTGTGTGTATGTGTGTGTGTGTGTGCGTGCATGCGTGGGTGGGTGTGGTTGTGTGCGTGTGCATATGTGTGTGTATGTGCATGTGTGTGTGCGTGTGTGTGTGTGTGTCTGTGTGCGTGTGTCTATGTCTGTGTGGTTGTGTGGGTGTGTGGGTGTGTGTGTGTGTGCGTGTGTATGTGTGTGTGTGTGCAGTCAATGCAGCATAGACTTACATGCATGGGGTGTGCAGGAGGAGCAGAAGGAGAAGCAGAGGCGGCAGAAGCTGGTGGTGTTGCTCTGCTGCACCACACACTTGCTGCCCTCTGCAGGGCAGGTCAGCCCCGTGCCCGAGATGTTCCTGTGGCCGAGTGGGGGGGAGCGGAGGATGGGAGGAGGGAGGAGAAAAATCACACTCATACATTTTTGTGAGATAAAGGTTCCTGTTTCTGTCTACAGGGAAAGGTCTAGCACAAGTGCTACGGGGAGAAACATTAACTTGTGGGAGCAGTGGAATTCCGTATGTAAATGTCTGCAGTATCTGACCAACAACAACAAACAGGTTATTAGCATCGACTGCTACACATGCTTCTTAGTCACAACACGTGCTCTTGGTAGATTTCTTGTTGATTAGTATTTTCTAACAAAAATAGTATGCGCGCTTCTGTCAGCGGAGCTTCTAGTCTGTGCAAACAAGTTTGGATTGAACTCAAGAATCCCAAAACGCCCATCTCCTCTTACATATAGATAGGTAAAAGCCATGTGGAACAAATTTAACTTGTTGTGTCAAGCAAATATGTGCACGTATTATGCCAGTTCAAGTATGTTCTGTGAGTATTTGGTCCAATACAAACATGTGAATATGGAGCTGATAGATTACATGCTTTCTTACAAAGGCAAGATGGAATGAGAGGCTTAAACTCTAGATGAAAAGCAGGATGGAATGAGAGGCTTAAACTCTAGATGAAAAGCAGGATGGAATGAGAGGCTTAAACTCTAGATGAAAAGCAGGATGGAATGAGAGGCTTAAACTCTGGATGACACGCAGGATGGAATGAGAGGCTAAAACTCTGGATGAAATGCAAGATGGAATGAAAGGCTAAAACTCTAGATAAAATGCAGGATGGAATGAGAGGCCAAAACTCTAAATGAAATGCAGGATGGAATGAGAGGCTAAAACTCTGGATGAATGCAGGATGGAATGAGAGACTACAACTTTAGATGAATTGCAGGATGGAA